GAAAAAGAATCGGGGATCGGGTAATAACCAAAAATTTAAAAAAAAATGGAATAGGAAGATTTCCCCGCATGAGGGCCACAAAAAGGAATAAAGAAGCAGCTAGAAAGAATACAGCCCATGAGTCAGAAAATAAAATTCAGAATAGTTTGAAAGGAATGAGAAGATCAAGCAATGGGTGCCCTCCTGGAAAAAAAGCATAACAAAAGAAAGTTACTTATGATAACAGGTGGGGAGGCAGATAGGAAAGGGAGATTCTGAACTACTCACATAAAAAGTAAAGAGAACCAGAAAAACCATAGACACAATAATTACAACAATATAAATGGGGGGAAACAATTAAAAACAAACAAACCCTGAACTCTATGTAATTCAAATGACCAACCTTGGCTCCAAAGAATAATTAAGAAAATATACCTCCCTCCCTTTTTTGCAGAGGTGGTAGACTTTTGGTAAGGAAATACTGCATATAATGTTAAACACATTTAATGTATTGTTAATTTTCTTCTCCCTCTAAACCCATTGTCCTTTTATTTTAGTCTTTACTATGAACTTAAACATCAATAAATATTACTATTTTAATATTAAAAAAAAAGAACTGTACATGAAACTGTGAGTTTCTATCACATGCATATCATATCAAATGCATATTATCTTTGTCTCTAGAACTTTTTTATGCTCTCTTCCGTGAATTTTTAAATTAGTTTTTTTTTTTTAATCATTATCACTGCCCACCCTTCACCTCTCCACAACTCTCCCTACTACACTCCAAACAGAAGCCCTCCTTTGTAGCAAATAGAGTCAAGAGAAACAAATTCACATACTGGCCACATTGTGCGCTAAAGAAGCATGTTACATTATGTCTCCCAGAGTTATTATGGGTTACTGTATTGATGAGTCTTGTTAAGTCTTTCAGGGTCGGTTTCCTTTACATCATTGTAATCATTGTAAAAGTCTCTCTCCTGGTTCTGTCTACTTCATCTGTATCAATTCCTACAAGGCTTCTCAGGTTTTCTGGAATCTAAATTCAGTCCCTTTTTGCTGCAAAATAATATTCCACAGCATTCATATACAATAATTTGTTCAGTCATTCCACTAGCTTATGGGCAAACAGCTATTTTGTTTCTAATTCTTTGCTACAATAAAAAGTGCTGATACAAGTATTTTTGTACTTACAGGCCCTTTCCCTCTGCCTTTGACCTCTTTCAGGTTATGTGTATGTAGATTTGTACGTATGTATGTATGCATATATACATGGAACCTCAAAGTTGCTTTAATTTGCATTTCTCTTATTATACATCTATCTATATATGGAACCTTAGAGTTATTTTAATTTCTATTTGTCTTATTACTAATTTGGAAGTTTTTTCGTTAGATTGTTGATGGCTTGCCTTTCCTCTTTTGAAAACTACCTGTTCATACACTTTAGTTATTTATCTATTGGGGAATGGCTCTTGGTTTTAAGTATTCATACTAGTTCCCTAATATCTTAGATATTAGGCATTTAACAGTAAAATACGCTGCAAAATTTTTCCCAGTTATTTTTTTGTTATGTATTTCCTTCTAATACTAGTTTGTTCGTGCAAAAGCTTTTCAATTCTATGTAATCGTGTCTTTTTTTCTATAATCTTTTTTTCTACAAACATCTCTATCTCTTGTTTAATCCAAAACAGCATTCTTAGTATTCATTCTTATCTAGTTAGATTCTCAGAGCAAGTTTCAGTTCTGATTATCACTTTCTTTCTTTCCTCCAGTGCCTAGGCAATGGAGATCGACTTCTGTTTGTGGCAAATTTTCAGTTTCTAATTTAGCTACAGTTTGAGACTTTAATTCCTTTTCATTTGCAATGTCCTTTGGCCACTTATTTATTGAAGAACGATATATGAATATATGCTGCTGGGTATATATTTAAGAATTCTACCCCAGACAAAAATTGTAATAGTTAAGGAATCTCATTCTCTAAGGGTTTTTTTTTTTAAATAGTGTGCCCTTTAATATTCAGGTTGTATATACATGTTAAACTATGACTGATTCCATTTTGGACAATTAACTTACTGAAGTTCAGTCTGTCTTGGCTTCTCTGCAGTTCCCACCCAGGGTTCCTAGATCTGCCCTCTTAGTCAAATTCCTTTCCAACAAGAGACTCCTTTAAATGTAAAAGACAACAATACTAAGCTTAAATCAAAGTACTACTTGGCTGCCCAGATGAGACTGTTGTGAAGAAAGCACTTTGTAAACCTTAAAGCTCTACAGTTGTATGTCCACATCAGGACCAATCCCTCAGTCCCCTCAGTGCTCTCCCAAGCCCCCACTAGCCACGCCCTCCTCCTTTTGCCATCACGACTCTTTGGTGAACCAGTTCAACTCCACCCTGTCCTCCTGAGTCCCTAGCTTCCTCATTTTCACATCACCAATGGCATCCTGCCAACCCTCAGGCTCTTTATCTGCTCCCTCTACTCCTACACACAGCCTGCTAGGGTGGTGGAAATTGCACAGATCTTCAGTCTCTCCCAATTAGCTGCTTCTCTACTGCCTATATACATGTCCATGTCACCCCATCTGTCTGTGTGGCTAAACTCCTGGAGGTCATTCACAGCGGGTGCTTCCACACCCTCTCCTCACTCTCTTCTAAACTCTCTACCTGGCTTCCAACCTCACATTTAACCGAAACTACTCTCTCTGAAATCACTAGTGATCTCTTGCTTGCCAAATCCATTGTTCTTTTCTCAATTCTCATCCATCTTGACCTTTCTGCAGGCTCTGATACTGTCAATCACCATTTCACCTCTGATCCTCTCATCTTTAGGTTTTCCAGACACCGCTGGTCCAACTGCTCTTTCTCCGTTTCCTTGGCTGGATCTTCATCCAGGTCACGGCCCTGGGCCCTCTTTTCTTCTCCCTCTATACTACTTCACTTGGTGCATGGCCATCCCCAGTTGTCCTGATCTATATCTTGCCATTGGACCAAGAAGGCTCCTGAGGAGAGCGAGGCTGGTGACTGTGCACAGGCCTCCCTCACTTAAATCCAATTCACTTGCAGGTCATGGCATCACCTCCCTGAAGTCAGGCTCCTCTTTGAGAAGAAAGGCTCCCATGGATTTAATCAACATCTCTTACCCTGATGATTCTCAGATCTACTTATCCAGCCCTAACCTTCAGACTTGCACCTCTATACCGCCAATGAGACAAATTGAGCTGGAGATATCCCAAACTCAACATGTCCAAAATTAAACTCATTTTTCCCCCCAAACGCTCCTCACTTCTGAACTTTCAATCAATAAATATTCATTAAGTACCTCTTTGGCATCAGGCATATATTACTGCTGAGGGCACCACCATCCTTCCAGTCCCCCAGGCTTGTAACCTAGTGGTCGTCCTTGAGTTCTCACTATCTCTCACCCCTCCTATCCAAGCTGTTGCCAAAGCCAGGTGATGGCACATTTGCAGCATCTCTTGAATATACCCCCTTCTCTCCTCTGACACTGTCACCAGCCTGCTGGAGGTGTTTATCATCCCAAACCTGGTCTACTGCTGTAGCTGCTGGCACGTCTGCCTGCCTCAAGCCTCTCCCCACTCCAATTCATCCTCCATTCAGCCCCCAAAATGATCCTCCTAAAGTACCGGTCGGACACCTTCTTACTCTAGTGGCTTCCTGTCGCTCTCGGATTAAATATGGAATTCCCTGGTATTCAAAGCCCTTCATAACTTAACCCTCCCTCCTTCCTTACTCCTTCCCACTTGATTCAGTGGCACTGGCCTCCAGACTGTTCCATGAACACGACACCATCTCTTGGCTCCAGTCATCTTCTCTGTCTGTCCTGTGCCTGGAATGCTCTCCTCTCTGCCTCTTGGCTTCCTTCAAGTCCCAGCTAAAATCCTACCTTCCTCATGAAGCCTTTCCCAATCCCTCTTACCTCTCATTCCTTTTATTCTGTTGATCATTTCCCATTTATCCTGTATATAGCTTAATTATACAAAGTGTTTGCATATTGTCTCCCCCATCAGTCTGTGCACTCCTAGAAGGTAGGAGCTGTCTTTGGCCTTTCTTCATATCTCCAGGGCTTAGCACAGTGACTGGAACATAGGAGCTTAATAAGTGCTTACTGGCTAATTTTATTAAATGCTGAATTATGGTAAGGAGGAAAGGGGATGATCCAAGACTGGAGGAAAAAAGGTAAGGCTCTTTAGGAATGTGTCTAGAACTAAACTGAAGTGTAGGTGGGGTTTGTATAGGTAGGTGTAGGTAAAAGAGAAGACATTCCATGGAACAGGAGTAAAAATGAGAATGGCTTATCTATAATGCCAAGAGATTGCTCTGACTAGAGGAAAGAGTGGGAAACGTTAGCAATAAAGTTAAGCTGAGGCCAAGAGCACAGCAAATAATGTAACTTGACAAGTGTAAGAATTAATCAAACTCATTTACCCCCTTTTATGCAAAAAAAAAAAACCAAAACCTCACATCAAAGTAGATATTTACTTTCTAGTAAACTCATTGTTCATAGGATCATAGATTTAAAGTTCAAAGGGCCATCAAACTAATTTAACTCTCTCATTTTACAAATGAGAAACTAAGGCCCAGAGAAGTTATGTTACTTGTTCACAGTCACACAAGTAGTAAACGTAACAGCACTTGAATCCAGGACCTCTGACTTCAGAGCTGCCACCTACTGGTTAAAAGACAAGAAAAGAATACTAATCAAAGGAGACAAAGAAAAAGTATCCAAATTGACCTTAATGTGGCCAACCACAAAACCTGCAGAGTTTAAAGCTAGAAGGCACCTTTGCAATTATCTAATTCAGCCCTTACCCAGGCCCTTAAAATGGGGAAAATGAGATGCAGGGGATTTATGTGAGATGACCAAGTAGTAAGTGGCAGAAACATCATTTTCTGACTCCAAATCCAATGTTCTGTCTACTACTTCAGTCTTGGGATACCTGGTCAAGTCTAAGAGCTTACGTATTTCGGATATAAAATGTAGCTATCAGTAATAACTGACACAAACTTAAGCCACACAATTAACTTTATTTCACCATTTACAGTCATTTAAGGCTTGATTATCACAAAACATATAAAAAGACATTTTTAAAAATCAGAGTTTTGTTCTCTGGAGTAGAAGAGTAGAGAAATCTAGAGCATTGTCAGCACAACTTATACAAATATTGATAATAAAAGTATTTCAAACTCTGGAAGGTTTTCAAAGAAGTGAGTGATATTCTGGGACAAAATGAATTAGTCATTGTCATAACTGATGGATTCATATTATCGATATCTTTTTAGCTACTCCCGGGAACAAAATAAAAATCTAAAAACAAAGAATTCTAATATTTAGACCTCTTTTTGGTACACTCATCACCTCTTTACTAAAAATTTTATTCAAGTTATGAATAAAACATTTGATTTTAAGCAAGTGTCACCTTTAGACTAAAGATTGAAAATAGTGCATACTACTTACAGAGGCTGAACACTAAATATGTATTAGCACCCACCACTGAATATCTTCTGTCTACTGAGCAATGTTGCACCGTGTTTCTGTTCTGATCTATTTTAGCCAAAAACACAATAAAATTAGGGGAAAGCACTAAAATCCTCTCTAATCCATGATGTCAGCCCTCGGGTAGGTCAAGTATGTACAGACAGTGGAATAACTGCGCCCCGTACAACAGAGTATTAGTTTTCCCATTTAAAGTTTAACCAATGAAATAAAATGCATCAACTCTATTTAAATTATCTTAAGGGAAATCTGATTTGAGAATCACAGGAACATTATTTTCCTCCCTTTGCCCCTCATTCGTTGACAGGAATTTTGTAGGCCACCATGCTATTTACTTTGTGGATAGTGGTTGTAAAGGAACGAAGGCGGACCTCTTCCGAATTGGCAATAAACTGTGGCCCAGACTCTTCCCATTTTTCAGGGACTACAAGTTCTTTGTCCGTGTAAATGAGCAGATCGAATGCACCTGAATCAGGGGGAAAATAACGGAATTTGTGCTAAGTTACTTCCCGTGGACACCAGGCTTTCATTCTTTTGGCTAATTATTAAGGAAGCAGTGGGTTTTGCACGACATGTTTCAGCAAGATTTAGACAGAGCAATGCACGTTCTCTTCCAACACTGATATTAGGTATGGTATTAAAAACTGCTGGTCACCAAAACACTATTGAGAAACTCAAATTTCCTATCATCAAAGTTCATAGAGCAAGCCAAGTTTGAAAACAGGCAAATACTTCTACCCTTGATTGTGGACCTGGAACAAGAAACTAGAGAGACTGCAGAAAACACAACCCCCCAGCTAGGTCTTACAGGGCTTAGCAGTACAAACAGATTAAAACAGAAAACACAAATTGTTGTTTTAATAATAATGCAAGATCTAGAAAAACTTCTAAAAAGAGGTATTTTCTGTGTTTCGGTACAAATGAAGAAACTTTTCCATTTGTAAACAGATCAGTAAACTTTAAACTGGCCAGCAGAGAACAATGATATATAATGAAATTTCTTCAAAACAAAAAACACAACCCTAAATCAATAGACCACGAGATAGACAATTTAGGTTACTGGGACCATAGCATTTAAAGCTATAAAGACACTTGAAAAAAAAAATCTATTCTAATCCGCTAACTTTAAGAAACTTGAGGCCTTGAGAGGTTGAGTGATTTGACCAAGGATCTTATAGGTCGAGGCAGGATCTGAACCCAGACCCAGGAGTTTTGGTTCCCAATCTTATACTTGTTTTACTTGAGTATATCTTAAAATTTGTTTCTCTTTAGTCCCTTTGCTCCCATTCTTTCATCCTTGATCTGTGACAAAATCACAGCCACACCTTTAGTTCAATAAATGTGTCAACTAAAATACTTTCACTGATGGGGGGGAAAAAGTGATTTGAACGTTTGTGGAACTCAGTACCTGTTTAATTAACAAAGCCCTTTTCTTGTTCGAGAATTGGGAGGCCTTGGTTTCAATACCTGGTCTCATCACTAACTAGCTCTAAGACTCATCCAAGTCCTCTCATAAGCGGGAATCCATCCGCCATGCTAACAGGCTTCATGTCACTGGTCAAATAATTACATGACCACAAAGCTGTAAAATTCCCCAAATCACATTCAAGGGATTATTCAAGTCCAGCAGAAGGTTCCAAAGGGTGGGAACCAATCCTAGAATTATTCAAATGGGGTCAGAGTCAACAAAGTTCATATCAAATACTTACAAGCTGCTTCTAACAATGGCAGAAATGTCACGGTGGCTGTAATTTGTCGGATCACTGAACGGATTTCATCTTGGATGGATTTCACAGATTTCTCTCGTGGTGCACTACAAAGGAAGCAAAATATATTAGTTCATGATGCTGATTGAATGCAACCTAGAAAAGACTTTCTAAGTTCATTATAAAATCAAGCAAACATCTGGTAGGAATAAAAGGGTATGCTGGAAAAAAAAGAACAAAGAGGCTAAGTCTAACAGTTGATCCTGACAAAAACCCAGCACATTTCCAAAAAAAAGCCATGAGATCACACCCCCACTAGTTCAAGCTGTACAGTTAAGAGATTCTTAACGTCCCATATCGGAGTAATTTCTAAAAGTTCAACATTACAATTCTAGTTTGTGAATAATATCTTGTATAAAACCCAACCAATGACTATTATGTACAAGTTAATGTGCTGGGTTCTTGGGACACAAGAATGAAAAATGAAGGAAGTAATAACTTGACTTTGATTTTATTAAAAGCAATGGAGTAGTGGATAGAGCTCCAGACCTGGAGGCAGGAAGACTTATCTTCCTCAGTTCAAATCAAGCCTCACATACTTCCGAGCTGTGTAACTCTGGGCATGTCATTTCACCCTGTTTGCCTCAGATTGCTTATCTGTAAAATGAGCTGGAGAAGGAAGCAGCAAACCACCCCAAATGGAGTCATGAAGAGCTGGACACAACTGAAAAAACTACACAAAAAGCAAAGTTGTTACCTCCTGAAATGTAAGGAGGCAGCAGTCCTCATGACCGTCTCCCAAAATCCAGTACCTTTATTCACTTCTATTTTTCACACTTGGCCACACACCTCCATTTCTGCTTGTGGTATGAGCCTGATTTCTGTTTTTAGATTTGCATTTATGATATCATCAGGTGAGGAAACTGGCAGCTGTCCTTGGAATTCTGTCTTAAACAGCAAGTGGCCTGAGGTACTCAGTGGGTTAAGTGCTGGGTCCAGAGTCACCTACCCAGAGGCTAGGGCCCCTACCCATTATCCTATCTCATTTCTATTTGCAAAAAATATGTTCAGATTTTATTTCCTCAAAATGATGAGTGCAGTTGCCTACATAACAATAACTATTAAAATTAAGAAATTAAGCTTAATACTTTTCAGAAAGTACAACTAAATTAAAAAGTCATTAAAGGAGTATCTGTCATTTAGCTGCAAGACTAGCATAATGAATGGATTGAATCCCTGCTACTTGGGGAGACTGAGGCTGCTGGATTGCTTGAGTCTGGGAGTTCTGTGCTGCAGGAAGGCTAAAGCCCACTGAGTCTCCACACTAAGTATGGCACAGGTATGGGGAGCCCCTGGCAGCTGGGAGTCAACAGTCTCCTCCAACCTAAGGAGGAGCAAATAGGCCCAGGGATAACCTTCTGTACTGAGCAGTATTGGGATCTACTGTACTTCTAGCTTGGGCAAAAGAAAGACAGCGAGTCTCAAAAAAAGTGTTTAGCACAAAAGTAATTAATAAGTACTGTTACTGCCTGTGTAGGTTTTCCATTACAGAATTGGTATTGAAAATATTTATTGGGAAAAAATGAATTTAAATAAAAATAACTAAGTGGATACTCACCTGTCTTCTTTTGCAGTCTTGTCACACTCAATATCAAACTGCCATCGTTCAAGGACTTCGCCACTTTCAATATTCGAAATCACCACCACCAATTTCTGAACCGAACAATTGTACAGCCAGTCTGCAACATGAGAAACCAATTTTGTCTGCTGCCAACAGAAGTGATGGCGGTATTTTAAGGCAATCAAACCTTAACCGATTTTTATCACCCAGGGGAGTGGGAGGGCATGGGGAAAAAATGACCAAAGGGAGGGCAAAGGTTAATACTGAAATACACAATCAATGATGTGGGAGAATTCCTATTATAGGGGAATATTTTCTCAATCACCTGCAGGAATTGGTATTTCTAGAGTGAGATACAACTGGAAAAAAGGGGCCGGGGCCAAATCTACAAGGTAGTAACAAAAACTGAAAAGGGATCTGAAAACAGGTACCTCAAAAGTTGTAATTCCAAGAGGAAAACAGATTAAAGAAGGACTAAGTACAGAGGCCCTGAATCAAAGAATAAAAGTCAAAAATAATTAGAAAGGGAAGGTAAGGAAGGAAAAGTATTTTATACAGCTAAGAAGTACTATGGAAAAGGGAGGAGTGGTTATTAATCTGTATGCCACCATTAACCCCTGGTCATCCAAAGTCACAAAGGTGTAAACAGCACAGGCAGGATTCCAAACCAGGTCTTCAGATTTTAAATCCAAAGTCTTCCTTTGCTCTCTTCTTGACTCTATGGTCTGGCTTCCAACTTTATCTCTCAATGGAAATCTCTCTCTCCAAAGTGGTAACGATCTTCTATTTGCCAAATCCACTGGTCTGTTCTCAATCCTCAGCCTTCTCGACCTCATTCTCTCTGATCAGTGACACTGGTGATCACCCTCTTCTCTCTACGATTTTGGGATCCTGCTTCTTAACTGTCTGACCGCTCCTCCGCAGTCTGCTCTCCTGGATCTTCTTCTAGGTTACCCTTGATAACTGTGCATCTCCCTGGGCCCCGGTCCCACCTCCTCTCTTCTCACTCTATTTCTCACAACTATTTTACCTGGTGATCTCATCAAATCCCAGGGATTCAATTATCAAACTATGCAGATGATTCTCAAATCTCTTTATCCAACCCCAAATTTCTCTCATGACCTCCAGTCTCACATCCAGACTCAGTTGTCTCTAGACATCTTAAACTCAATCTGTTCAAAATTGAACTCGTTCTCTTCCCCCTCAAAGCCCCACCTCTCTCCTCCTATGTGCTTGATACTCTGAATGGTACCCCCTCATCACAGTCACCCAGGCTCAAAACCAAGGTGTCACCCCAATTTCTTATTCTCTCATCCCCATATCCATTCAGTTGCCATGTCCTGCGGATTCTACCTTCATAATATTTCTTGTGCACATGCCCCTTTCTCCTCTAACCCTGCCCCTGCCTGGGTGCAGGCCCTCATCATCTCATACCTGGATTATCGTGACAGTCTTCCTGCCTTAAGCCTTTCCCTGGTCCAGCCTGTCCTCCAGAGCTCTCAAAACTGAATAAACTCTAGTGGCTCCCTATTAATAACAGGATCAAAAGAAAAATCCTCTGTATGCTGGTTAAAGCCCTTTACGACCTGGCTGGCCCCTCCTACAACGTTCAATGTTCTTCCATTAGACTACTCTCTGACACAGTGCCCCTGGCCTCCTGCTGGTCACCCACGAGTCCCTCCATCGCTTGGCTCCTGTCATTCTCTCTGGCAGGCCCAATGCCTGGAACAGTCTCCCTCCTCATCTCTGCTTCCTGGCTTCTCTGAAGTCTCAGTTAAAATGCCCACCTCCCCCCCTTTAAAGACGGTGCCTTCCTCTGTTAATGATCTGCAGCTTATCCTGAACAGATCTTGCTTGTGAGTTGCTGTCCCCCCATCAGACTGTGAGCTCCTCGAGAGCAGGGACCTTTGCCTTTCCATGTATCCCTAGGGCTTGGCAGAGTGCCTGGCACAGAAAGCAGATGCTCAGTCAATGCTTGTGGACTTGACTTTTCCAACTACTTCCTTTTAAAAAAAGGAGAGAGGAAAAATGCAGGGGAATGGGCTAACCTTCTTCAGGCTTACGGAAAAAATTCCTATTTCTGAAACACTAATAGGCACGTTTAAAGAAAAGCATTGTCCCCAAGTTTCTTCCATCGATCTGGTCACCTATCTACAGCTCCCTCACCAAAATGCTCAATGCTCCTCTCCAAAAATGGGGTCCTGGTAGAATACACACTCTGGGGCCCTGCTCCCGACAGGGATGGCCTCTCCCAAACACTCCCCAGATCCCCAGGGCTGGAAGCAAGATCTAATCTCCTCTGCCGCTGCTTGAGAAGGGGGCATATCCATCCACTCTAGGATGACCCCCATAATCCCTGTAGCTTCCATTCTATCACAGTACCCCACGTCAATCTGGGGACTTGAGGGGTTTTCCCTGACCCCTCAGTGATCACGGCTACAAAATCCCAAAGACAGAAAATGAAGCTATATCCCAATGACCACATTTAATGGTGCTAACAGCTGGCGTTTATGTAGTGCTTTCACAAGTTCACCAATTAGATCTCTGTGAAAGGATTGCTATTTTATTATCTTTGCTTTACAGATGAAGAAACCTGGGCTGACAAAAATTAAATGACACGCCCAGGGTCACTTGTCTGAGGAGCTATTCAAACACAGGTCTTCTTGTCTCCAGGTCCAACGCTATTTACTGTGCTGCCTAACAACCCCAACGCTCATTACAGTCATGTCAGCTTTAAACATGTTCCCTCTGGCCAACTTCCTTATGACTGTCGAAGGCACCCCCATCCTCCCAGTGCCTCGAGCTCACAACCCAGGGGTCACCCTGGATCCTCACTCTCTCTCAAACCCCTCCAAACTCCCCCATCTAAGTTGATGCCAAGGCCTGTCTAGCCCCGCTACAACACCTCTCAAATGCATCCCCTTTTTCTCCTCTCACTGCACACCTGTATCATTGCAACAGTTGTTGGAGAAGCGGGGCGGGAGTGTCTGCCTGCCTCAAGTCAACTTCCACTCCAATCCATAAATCCATATCCATAGGTCTTCCTAAAGCACAGCTCTAACCAAGACACCCCACTACCCTTGCTCAGTATACTCCAGCGGCTCCCTAGCACTTCTAGGATCAAAAATAAAATCTTGTTTCTGCTCTTGTCCTCCTTCTTCCAGTCTTGTTATACCTGATACCTCCCTCCCCCTAGCATGTACCCTACTATCCAGTGACAATGGTCTCCTCCCTATTCCCCAAGACACTCCCATACCTCCAGACTCCAGGACTGTCAGTGGCCATCTGCCATGCATAGAATCCTTTCCCTCCTCCTTGCCACTCTCTGGCTTCCTTTGAGTCCCAGTTAAAAATCCCACTTTCTACAGAAAGCCTTTCCCAATTCCCCTTAATTCTAATAAATTCTCTCTGTTGCTTATTTCCAATTCACTCTGCCTATTGAAAAGAAATCAGCTCTTCTTGATTACTTTGATTTATTTTTAGTTTGATTATAGGATTAGATCTGAGCTAGCCTTAAGCTAAGCCAGACCAACATAGATAGTCTCTTAAGTCTAGGTTACTTAGAGATTTAGTGAACAGTTGACTGAGAAGATGTTATCATTTAGTAGCAGATAATTTAGAAGAACAAAATAATCATAAGATTATAAGGTTTTTCAAAAAGCTAAGTCCTAGCAGAAGTGGGGGGCGGTTGACCAGAGGCCAAGCTCCCCTTTCTGGTAGCTGGAGAAAGGTTAGCCAGAGGTCAGGTGAAGCTCCCTTTTCTTTTTCGTAGTTGAGTAGTGAACTGAGAGACAGAGAGAGAGAGAGTTGTGTGTGTGTGTGTGTCTGTGTGTTTGTGTGTCTGTGTGTGACTGCTAACCACCGAACACAAGTTCCTCTTTCCTAATACACTTTCTGGTTACAAAAGGTACCACCTGAAGGAAAAGACATCTGGCATAGGATTAAGAAAGTTTGGGAGAAGCTAACTAGTCAGGTGACTTGCCTTGTCCAAATGAATTATGTTCAAAACTAGTTTCTGTAATTTTTCAAATTCCTCTTTTTTTGTTAACATCTCTGTTAATCACTCCTTGTCTCTGACCTCTGAGGAGTCAGGTGACCTGGTTTAATACACAAATGCTAGCTTTGCAGATTAAATCATAGATGGCTCAGTAACTTTGTCCTCAGTTTCCTTTTTATTTCAATAATCAATTTTAACGCTATAGCTTGTTTCTACATAGTTGTTGAGCTACACACTATGAGCCCTTTGAGAACAGAGATTGTCTTATTTTTATTTGGCTCCCCAGTGCTTAGCACAGTGTAGCCCTGGCATGTAGTAGACACTTAATAAATATTTCTTGACTGACTAGACACATGATTTCTTTTTGACATCACAATCTATTTCAAATGGTAAAGACTTGCAGTAAAGAATCTTGATTTTTGGACTAAGAACCTAGATTCTCCTACATTTGGTTCGGCAAGGACTGGAAAATAGTCAAAATTATTTATTTCAGTTCAAATACCTTTAAGTTGGTCCACCACATTATTCAAATATTTTATGAGATCGGGATCCGTTGTCACAAGCAAAGTCAGTCCATATTTTTGCACTCGAGTAAAGGTTTCAGATGGGTATATACCACGCTGATATAAGATACTGTTGATGCCAAATGCTAAAAGCAAAAAGAATAAGAATGTATTTTCTTTTAAAGGTCACAAAATGCTTCAACTTAAGTCCAATTTAGTAGGAAAGAAATGAAACCCACAGCTAAGAATAAAGTTTTACACTAAATACAATTATATACCCACCTGTACTACTTTGATTTTTCCTTGTAGAAAATATTCTAGTTTTTATGGTCAGCAAACATCTATGGCAAAAATAATCCTCTTGAGGTATGGCTATAAAAATGTGAATTTTCTCATGGTAATATTTCAGTACAATGCTGAAATAGTCAATGTATGAAAATAGCAGCAGCAAATACTTATTATTACCATTCATATATAAAACCCGGCTTTTACAGATTTTAAGTTCACTAAAGACAAAAGATATTAACCTTCTATGAGAAGACTTTCTAAGCTTAGCCAGGTTGGGCTTTAAAGCTCATCCCTATGCTGGTACCAGGGGCTTCCCAGCCTGGTCAAAAGGGACAGCTTCTGCACCCTGTGGAAAAAGCAGTCCTATGAGAGGGGGTAACTGGATGGGGCTTTGGTGGAGGGTGAAAGGATCAAGTCCCCGGAAGGGATGCTCAGTAGCACTGATGACATCAAAGCTCTCCACTGTGTTTTCAACATCAGCCACAATACAAGCCACTAAGAGCTTATCAGGCTTAGCTCCCCTTTCCTCCAAGTGCTAGCTAAATGAACAGATAGATAGACAGATAGATAGACAGAGAGACAGACAGACAGATGGATAGATAGACAGATAGATGGATACAGATAGATGGCTGGCTGGATAGATAGTTGGATGGATAGACAGATGGATAGATAGATCAACAGATGGGCAGAAAGAGGTATGGCTAGATGGATGGATAGATACAGATATATGGATAGAAAGACATATAGATGGATGGATGGATGGGTGGATAGATAGACAGACAAAAAGACAGATAGATGGATGGATAGATAGATATATGGATAGAAAGACATAGATAGATAGATGGATGGATGGATGGATGGATAGACAGATGGATAGATAGACAGATAGATAGATAGATGGATGGATAGAAAGACATATAGATAGATAGATGGATGGGTGGATGGATAGATAGATGGATAGATGGATGGATGGATAGATGGATAGATGAATGAATAGATAGATGGATGGATAGATACAGATATATGGATAGAAAGACATATAGATGGATGGATGGATGGGTGGATGGATGAATGGATACACAGACAGTCATACAGACAGACAGTCATACAGACATATAGATAGTTAGACAGACAGACAGACGGATAGACAGAGA